CTGTTCGGCCTCAGAACGAACCCTCGACACTTAGTATTTTGAGGCGTGCTCCGAAAACGTTGATGGTTGAGATAGGTAGATCGCAATTCATCTAGATCGCTCTCTCAGGTGCAACACAACATCTCCCTATTTTGAACCTTCTACGTATTTTGATTACGTATTTCACTTTGGGGTTTTCAATCAAGGTGTGTAAGGAAACCTATGTCACCAAGAATGATAGGGAGAAGGCCGTGATTATCCTACGTCTACCATGCCGCAATGTTGTAGAAGCTGATCCGTTCAGCAGATAAATAGAAACCCAAGAACAACCACCTCGCTCCAACCACGTTATCAAAAAAGCCTATCAACATCATCATCATCATCATCATCATCAACATCATCATCAGCAGCAGCAGCAGCAGCACCATCATCGTCACCTCCTTGCAGTGAAAGAGAAAAGAGAAGCAAGACGGAAGAGTGGGAGGACAAACAGCGGCTAAACTGTTGCAGTGACAAACAGCGACCAAACTGCTTTCCGTGGATGCTTCTCAAAGTTTTTTCCATTCCAGAACCGCATGTACAAAAAGGGGGAAGGAGGAAGAAGATGATGAGTGGGAGTACACACAGGATGGAGGAAGGGTTTCAGAGAACAGGAAGAAGAGGATAGAGTCCAGGGCAAATGAGGAAGACGTAGGGGAAGAAGAGAGAAGAAACCGCGACGCCACATCGCGACTATACTTTCCCAAAGCAGCTACACTAGACCTTTAGTGTTATTGAAAAACGGTTACTGCGAAAAGAAATGGCAACTCGACTAGACTATGTAGCAGCGGCTGATACATCGGGGAGAGGGTCAAAATGCGGATCCGCACGTTCAGTCCATTATCTTGCGGCGAATAAAATAAGAAGAATAGGAAGGCGGAGTAAGAAGAAGAATAGTGAAATAGTGAAAACAGGGGCCAACTGTTCTTCCATACACGCTTCGACAGTTCTTCCATACATAGCCGCGCGTACTAATCTCAGCTCACGCGCACGTTCCCCGACGCGTTTCGATCGGTTGCGCTCCGATCATCCTCAGGGGGCTTCCCACATGACCCTGCCTTGCGTACACGCTTCGATAGTTCTTCCATCGACAGGCAGGGTTTCAGAGGATGGGAAGAGACAAACAATCGAGGGAAGGGTTCCTTCCAGAGGATGGGAAGAAAATGGAGGAGGAGAAGAACATGAATGGGAGGACTTGATGCCAGCGCAGCCGCTCGTTGAGTACGGAGACTTTAGGGCATACTTCCCACTTTGACTCTCTACAGCTCATCTCGACCGTAGATGCAATCTGATACAAGAGCGAAGATCCAAGAGCAAGGATGGCTTCACTATCACAAGTAACCTTGTCCGAACAAGGGACACACACACAGGCGCCAAGAGATACTAGAGCCGTAAGACAGTTCGGGCATTTCATCGGAGAGCAAAAGGGGCACACACATAGGAACACGACCAGGATGGTAAGCAAGGAGTCATCGACCAGGATGGCGAGGTGGACACGACGAGAGGGCGAGAGAGGAAAACAGACGACGAGGAGTGAGAGGAAAATAGCCACAGCGTAGAACAGGAGCAGAATGTTCCGCCGTCTTCTGTAAACTCACCGCGTCCGAGAAAGAGTGTCCCGGAGAACGACCACGGGCGGAGCTTGGCGTATCCACAGCGACAGCTCGGGCGTGCGACTTCGACTGTGGTGGACTCTGAGGGGGTTTAGCACTCCTTAAGCTGGGTGTCCCCGGGCTTCGAGGACTGGTAGGACTCGCGGCTCCTCCATCTCCTCCGGCTTCAGTGGCCCCCGCAATCTCCAATCTCATCAGCTCCTGGATCTCCGCAACCTTGATTCCATCCTTGACCACCCATGCTATTCCCCCTCCTCCCAAGTTCTCTTTGTCTGCAATATCCACACTGCAGGTCATCGTGCGCGAGCAGGGTAGCATTCCCCGATTGAAATCGAAGCTGGCATCTACTGCGCCGCTCTTCATAGCCTCTGCCGCCTCCACCCCCTCGACCATCGCACAATTACAGTCTTCCGGCGCTCGGCTCTCGACTTCGTCTCCCTTACCCCCTCCTCCCGCCGCGCCCCCTCCCCGCCCATCATTGCTCCTCCCGCCGTTGGCCGGGCCCACGGAGACTGACCCGATGCTCTCTCGATCATCGTCCGAGGTCGTCGAGCTCGGACTCTCCGCCGTTGTCGTGGTGGTGGTGGTGTTTGTGTTCGTCATCCCTGCGGCAGAAGGGAAGAAACTGCCGTTGAAGAAGCGCCGCATTGGCGCCAAGTTGTGCCGCGACGGCGGCTGGCGCGGGGTGCCAGTATTCATATCTGGCGGAATCGTCGGGGAGGAGGGCTTCGAGTGCGGCGATAAGCTTCGTTCAGATGGGGGTGGCATTCAGCAACGCACAGAAGTGAATGTGACAACCCAACCGACCCACAAGCCCTCTTCCGCTCCTCGACTCAGCGAACGAACGAGAGGACAATGAACCTGCTTTCCAAGAGGGATATGACAGGTGGGTGGAGGCGCGCAGGGCGTCGCAAGGGGCACGGAGGTACGCAAGGGTTGGCGCAAGGGGGAGGTACGCGGAGATGAAAAGGTGTTGAAGGCACTTGGGAGGAACTGGGAAGGTAGGTAGAAGACGACGAAAAGGTGTGGCAGTGGGGAATGGGGGGTCGGGCGGAGGTGGCACAGGAGGGAAGAGGTGGGTCAATGAGAGACGGATGGGTGACGGGTCGAGGAGAGAGGTGGGTGAGGGTCGGAGAAGGTGAGGCAGATGGGAGAGGTTGGACGAGGGAGGCGGCGGTAGTGGTGGGTCTGAGGTGGAAGGAGGGGAGTCTGCTGATGGAGATGGTTGCGGCCCGTTGTTGGCGACACCGGGACGAACGACCGAATTCTCTTGCGGTTTCGGTAGGGCGACATGCGGTGGTGAATAGGGCGGCGAGTGTCATACGCGCGCGGGCAGCACATTCCAAAATGCGACCGTTGAGGTACCGCCACAAGTTTCCGCATCGAAAATGCGACCGTTGCATGTAACCGTCAAGACACAGGACGTGGGTTCGAATCCTACGAAATAGCGAATCAGATCCGAGATGGAGGGCCGCAGAAAATGGGTGTGGTGGGATGAGGGGTCAAAGGGGCCTTTACTGCACCACTCGCCAGATGCCAATTTCCTTAGTTCCGCACGGCTGCACACACTGGTTGATCGTTTCTCCACAAAGGATCACCACGGCCTAGGTTTTGCTGTGTTCACGAAGCTTTGATAAGTTCACCGCTTGCAGCGCCAGATTTCTGGTGCGAGCTCCCGGGGACACTACATAATTTCGAGTTTGCCACAGCGGCTGAGGTAAACGACACACCCACCCCATGTCGGTGAATGGTGCACACATGTGACTGGTGATGAATGTTGGGGAGCAGAGTCATGGGTTCAAATCCGGCACCATATACCAACGGGCTTACCTCAGTTCGTACACCCATAAACTGTTGAAATTGAAATGCAGACCTGACTTCGAATCCCGATGGAACCAGAGTGCGTGGAGAACGCAGCCCAAAGGGCTTATGATCCTTTCTTTCTTGAAAAGAGAAAGAGAGAGAGAGAAACCCGAAAGTGGGAAAAAATAGGAAATTCAAAAAATAGAAACCACAAAGTTGCAGCACAAAGACAACAAGGGCCATCGTTTGTTTTTTGGGCCGATGAAATTCTGTGGGTTTTTTTTTTGGGAAAGATCATTGCTCAATCTGTGTCCCATTGCCGAAGTAGACTCTTTCAACATTTTGCAACAAACTGCCTATACATGTGCCCAAGCCCATTGGTGACTGTCAGATCTTTTTTTTTTTTTTTTTTTTTTACAAATTGGCACGAACTCAGAACCGGGCCCAGCGTCCCATAACGACTGCATTCAGAAATTTCATGAAAATGAGACAAGGAACTACTAGAAAAATCTAATTGGCCTAAGGATGGAAATTTAGAAATTGAGATACCGGGGCCATTACCCGGCTTTGGCTCGAAGAATTGAAGCTACTTCAGACATGTCTATGACAACTTTCATGATTAAGCTGAATTCAGAAACGACTCAGAAACCCCCCCATCAATCCACTTTACCCCCCTCTGGCAAGACTGACTGCAGCAGAGCCACCATCTCTGCTGCTGCTATGCCATACTCCCATCCTGCCAGCTAGCCCCCTCACTGGTAGGACGCGTGATAACCCACCATCTTCTCCCACACTCCTTATTTTCTTTTGAAGTACCTAAGAACTCTAGCATGAGAATAGGCTACAGAGGTCCTACGATTGTTCCCAAACCCTCGAAATCCCACACCAACCCTTCCAACGTTCTCCAAAACTGTCATACTCTGCCGATCTCTTCTAGGTCTCACACCCCCACTTTCTGCTAGGTTACAGGGCAACGCGACTCACCCCAGCTCCGACCAGCGCCGTCCCGGCAGCAACCCTTGGTTGTCCCGTGGAACGCCCACCCCAAGACATCCCCAGATCTCTCTACCAGACCTCACGCTCCTGCATCGCAGGTTACAGGGCAACACCCCAGCACCGGTCAGCGTCGTTCTGGCATCGAACAACCGCAGATCACTGAGTATAACAGCATTGAAACCACCTAAGACGAGTTAGTAGAGATCCCAGAGTCCTAAAAAACATTCCCATGACCACTAAACACCCAACTATTTTTGGGACATTCGAAAAACTTTAGAGAAATATAAGAGCGGGGGGGCAAGAGTTAATTTGCCTACTATCGTACATTCCCCTTCGCAACAGATGGGGCATCAGTCCAGGCTTTCAGTCCTCGTACCATAACTCACTTGATCTCATACCCCCTTCTACTAGGGTAACAGGGCACCACAACCTTTCCCAATACCGATCAACCTAGCTCTGACGGACAGGAAGTGCCTTCCTCCCTTGACAATTCCCTTAGCGGCAAACCCCTAGCAGGTTACAGGATCAAAACCCCGACGCCAACTACGTCGGAGGATCTGGTTATGCCTTCCACCCTCGACATAACTTCACAGGCCTCAAGCTCCCTGGCTCCAGCACCGGCATGTGTCGCCCCAGCCTCGTTCTAGCCTACTTAACCTAACAAACAACCCTTTCTGCCGAAAATCCCCTTGCTACCTTCCTTCCT